AACATTCACACTCCGATGGATGCATCGGAGAGCAATTTGGGGTTAGTATCTTGCCCAAGGACATTTGGCACGCAGACTAGGGGAAGCCAGGAATCAAACCACCAACCTTCCGATCAGTAGGTGACCTGCTCTACCACCTGAGCTACAGCCACCCAATCTATACAAAATAAGGATCAATAAGGGAAACTAAATATTATGTCACCTTACAGGCACAGACACTGAACCATGCAGTGTGAGAAGAGTTTATACAAATTCTAGCCCTTTGTGAATTCCAGCTCTAATAAATTTTTTCAACACAATGAGAAACATTATTAAAACTCACATAACATCAGCAACTCAGTTTTAGTGTGCTCTTAGGATTTTTTAAAATAAATCTCCGCTGAGGCTAAGAATGATGATGAAGCAGTTAGAGTAGACAACAACAAACTGCTTAGGGCAGCTGCACAGGAAGTCATTTTTGTGTGTGTGTGTGTGTGTTTGGGTGTGTTTGTGTGTGTTTGGGTGGGTGGGTGGGTTCATTCAAAATCACAATGAATACACAAATAGAGACATTTAATGTTTCCAGTGACTTACCTGCAGAAAGTCTGCTGTAAATTCTAGTCTGCCAAACCCAAATGAATCAGGTCAGAAGTCTCTAATCTTTTCCAGTGAGCCCAAATACGATTTTTCAACATTTATCTAGATTTTTAATCAGCTGATATAATTCTGATTATGAATTTTAAGAGAATCCCTCAGTTTTGGAAAGTCCTAGTATACATTTTAGTTTATGAAGCTATGGGCACAGCATCTGAATTAATGTGAGACCTTCCCAAGAGCCATCCCAAATTTTAGCCCAGACGAGCCAAATTTTTGGGGTGCCTTCTGGGCATGCTCAGAATATAAATGTTTTTCTTTTCCTTCTTCTGTTTCTGCCTTTAAATTGTTTAATTTAATGTGTAGAGGTTTACACATTACACATTCATCATTGTTATGAAGTGGGGCAGTGAATGTGTAATTTAAAATGAACACGTAATTACACAGTGTGGACATTTGAGCTCATTTCTAAAAATAATGTTTAATAGAAGCTGTTATTATAGTTTGCTCTTAAACAAGCAGTGTAACCATGTTATCTTCGCTCCGTCTAAAGATGTTCTGCGTCCATCTACTGGCTGTTAACGCCAGCGTAAATTGGGCGATGGAATCGAACTGCTTCGCCACTTTCCCTCTCATGCAGCAGCCCACCCCTCTCGCTCCCCGTCTCCCTTTTGCTTTCGACATCAGCCCGGTCTATTTTTAGCTCCATCCAAGGCGAGCGGGAGAGGGAGAGGGAATGACACAATCCCTTGTAGACTGGCGGGTGAGAGGAGGAGGCGGAGGAAGGAGAGAAGAAAGCGTGGGCGCACTGAGGATGGGTGCTCATTTGAATACTCATAGAAAGCAGCTGCGCGCACAAAGGTGGAAGGATGGGCGATGAACGCGGATTCAGTGGCGAAAATCAATAGAGGGCTCAGCCTCTGACAGTTTTGGATGATTAGCGTGATGAATAAGCGGCGCATTATAATGAGTTACATGGGACAGGATGGCGTGATGGAGCATTGAAAATAAAAGTGAGGGATAATTGGTCTTGCCTGAGTGACAGCATTTTTTTGTTTGTAGTATTCAAGAATACATTGAAGGCTCTCCTCTATGTCTCTGGTAATCTCTTTTTAAGAACGTCTTGCTTACACTTTTTTTTTTTGCCTGCTTTGCTTTCCAGTCACAGTTTCTTTCTAAACAGTATATTTTGTCTTTTCTGTCACTGCTTTGTTGATTTGTTTTCAAAAGGATGATTAGAAAATAAGCAAAGTATGACATAAAGCTTTTGATAGTGCTCAGTTTAGTTAAAAGATAAACCTCAGGAGGGGTACTAAGAAATGGGAATAATGGATTTGTGAGCTATTTTGAGCTCAAATTCAGCTTTTCTCATGTTATGTAGTTCTTTTTTTACCTGGT